AAGCGTCTGCCTTGGGCTCAGGTCATGATTCCAGGGTCCTGGGATCGAGCCCTGCTTCGGGCTCCCTGCTCAGCGGGGAGCCTGCTTCTCCCTCTCCCTCTGCCTGCCGCTCCCCCTGCTTGTGCTCGCTCTCTGTCAAATAAATAAATAAAACTTTGTTTTTTATTTGCCAGAGAGAGAGCAAGAGTGAGAACGAGAGAGAGAGAGCTCAAGGGAAGAGGTTTCTGTGCCACCTAGAGCTCCAGCCCGGAATGCTGGGAGTCCTGAAGCCTGGGATCCTGAGACACTCCTATATCCTGACAACCACCATGCTTCCCCACCCTCAGTCCTGTCGCTTGAGCTCAAATGAGCTTGTTAGATGTGATTCACCTAGATTATAGTCTTTTGGGACAGAAACTGGTTTCTTTCCTTTTCTTTTTGATTTTTTAAAATTTTTTATTTTGAAATAATTATAGATTCAGGGAAAGTTGCAAAGATAGTACAAAGATGTTTCCTGTCTGCTTCACTCAGTTTCCCCCAATGGTTATGTTTTTTATGTCACTGTAGTATAATACAGAAACCAAGCGAATTACCTTGGTACGATGTGTGTGTCGTTCTCCTTCTGAACTATGACTTTGTTTTCACCAAGAAAGCAGGGGGGAAAGCTTCAGTGGACACAGCCTAAAGGCCCCTGAGTAGGCACTGGCCTAAGGGCCCCTGGAGTGGGGGTGGGTCAGCCCCCTCTTTTTATATTCTAGTACTTCTGCTTAAAAGTCCTTTGCGTTCTGGGCCCCTTCTCTGACTCTACTGCTCTCTCCCCCTTTGTAGAGACCCTCGGAATACAACCCCATGTTTGCCTGCCATTTCTGTTCCTCAACCTCTTCAAAAGCACTCTTTTTTTTTTTTTAAGATTTTATTTATTTGAGAGAGAGAGAGAGAGAGACCACAGAGGGAGAGAGAGAAGCAGACTCCCCACTGAGCAGGGAGCCCGAAGTAGGGCTCGATCCCAGGACCCTGAGATCACAACCTGAGCCGAAGGCAGACGCTTCACCAACTGAGCCACCCAGGCACCCCCAAAAGCACTCTTACAAGACATCATTGACTTGGTCACACCTTTGTTAACACTCAGGTCTCACAGCCCTTCCATCCTCAGTCTGTGAGATCACTTCCCTTACCTTTGCATCCTTAAATTGCTTTTGTGGGTGACTGTCTCTTTTCACCATCAGATCAGGAGACCCCTGAAGCCCGAGACGCCCACCCTCAGCAGTTGAAGTGTTCCCTGAGGGCAGAGGGGATGTCTTCATTAATCTTGTAGATACCTCAAGGGAAGAACTTTTTTATTTTTTAAAATCCTGGCCCTGTGCTAGTTCTGCACACTGTGGGTGCTCAATAAATGTTGATTGACTGAGTAAACAATAGACTTAGTCCCCGGAGTGTCATACTCCTTCTTTCCACAGGGAGAAAATAATAACATTAGCCAGAGCAGGCTGGATCCCTTAATATGATTATCTGAAATTTGTGGCTGGTGACTCTCTCCCCCAACTTTATTGGGTACATTCATCTCCACAGAATAGATATTCCCAGAGACCACTAATGCTGCCGGCCCAAATGGTGGACTACTAATGATTGCCCTGACCCTGTTCATCTTGATTCCCTCACAACTGAAGCTGCTGCCTGCTTCCAGCCCAAGACAGGGGGAGGACCCCACGCTGTTGTGGCACGGCCTCTACTGAAATAGGTACACTCTAACCAAGTTTGATAATGTGGGCCCAGCTCTGCGTCTGTATGTAAGACATTCTACCGTGAGTCAATGGATGACCTTAGCAAGTAATTTTTTTAACCTTTTAAAAAATACAACTTGAGATAGAATTCACACAGCGTACAGTTCACGCATTTAAAGTGTATAATTTAGGGCCCCTGGGTGGCTCAGCTGGTTGAGCGACTGACTGCCTTCGGCTCAGGTCATGGTCCTGGAGTTCCGGGATCGAGTCCCACATCAAGTCCTACATTGGGCTACCCGCTCAGTTGGGAGTCAGCTTCTCCCTCTGACCCTCCCCCCTCTTGTGTTCTCTCATTCTCTCAAATAAAATATTAAAAAAATAAAGTGTAGCCCCGTATCGGGCTCCCTGCTCGGCGGGAAGCCTGCTTCTCCCTCTCCCTCTCCCCCTGCTTGTGTTCCCTCTCTCGCTGTGTCTCTGTCAAATAAATAAATATAATCTTTAAAAAAATAATAAAGTGTATAATTCAAGTTTGTAGCATATTGAGTTGTGCAACCATCTCCACGATAAATTGTAGAACATTTTCTTTACCCCCCCAAAAGAAACTCCATACCCATGAGCGGTGACTCTCCAATTTCCCCCCAACCCTCAGCCCTAGGAAAACATCTATTTTGTTTCTACAGATTTGCCTATCTTGGGTGTTTCATATAAATGGAATCATATACTACGTGGTCTTTTGTGATGGGCTTCTTCCACTTAGCATGTTTTCAGGGTTCTTCCATGTTGTGACATAGCAGTACTCAATTCCTTTTTTTTTTTTTTTTTTTTAGTGGGCTCCATGCCCAGCGTGGAGCCCAACACGGGGCTTGAACTCACAACACTGAGATCAGAGTTATATGCTTAACCAACTGAGCCACCCAAGGGCCTCTCTTTTTTTTTTTTAATTTTAAAGTAATCTCTACATTCAATGTGGGGCTCAAAGTCACAACCCCCAGATCACGAATCACATGCTCCATCAGCTGAGTCAGCCAGGTACCCCTCAATCCCTTTTTTTGGCCAAATATTACCTCATCCTCTAGATATACTGTTTTTTATTTACCCGTTCATCAGCTGATGGGCATTTGGGTTATTTCCACTTTAAGCAAGTTATTTCTCCAGGTTTCAACTTACTCATCTATAAAAATGGGAGTTGATAGCCGTCTGCTTCAGAGATTACTGCAAGTAGACATGGAAGATATGAATATGTGCTTCCTAGTCTGAACTAGGAAGCACACATGCGGAGACATTACATTAATAATTACATGAGAGCAACTGAGAGTGCTGGGGCTTGTGGCCCAAAGTCTGGCCCATTGTTGGTTACTTCAGGGCAATTAGGTGTCTCTGGGTCCCCATGTTGAGGCCTGTTTGCTTTTTTTCTAGGTGGCAGTCTGTATCTCTCAGCCCGGGCCTGTCATCTCATTACCATTTGTTGCTAGGAGACCAGGTTAGAGCTGCGCTCGCCACTGCCACCGGAATCAGAGGGGAAAGATACTGAAACATCAAGGCCGTTTCATGTCATCCTGATTTTTAGCAAGACCAAGGAAAAGTGCTGAAGCCACAGGTGTTCTGGGGGGCCCAGGTTTATGGAATATCTTGCCAACTCTCACTTTTCTGATTTTAATTCGCTTCCTCTCGCCTCTCTCTGTCTCTCTGTCTCACACACACACACACACAGACACACACGTGACCAAGTGACTTCCCCTCCCCCCGCCCATCAATTAAGTGTTAAGTAATGCAAAAACATTTTAATATTAGACCAAGAAGTGAATTAGAAAGGAAAGCTTGTTGCATAAGCACAAAGATGATAAAATCCAGTTTAGGCATACGTACTGTTTGCTCCCAGAAACTCCTGCTCCTTCCCGCAGGTATTTTATAGCCGTAACACGTGTGGGTACAGGGAGGTTAGAGGGGAAAGGCTGGGGTGAGGAGTGGATTATAGAAGAATGATTGTTTCCTTTCTCTAGGAGCTGCCTGGAGCAGAATTTCCCCTTCAAAGCCTTGGTAAGAGCAGCTGGGGATAATGAACAGTGGTTAAAGATGCTTTGTTTTACATCCAGCAAAAAGGATCATTAACACTTGGGTTTTTTAACCAAGCCTGTGGAAGGGCCCCTGCTGCTGTTGATAATCGCGGTAACCCTCGGGGTAGTGGGGGCAAAGGGGTGGGTAATTCACCAGAAAATGGTATTCACTGATTTGGATTATGTGCGCCACTGCGCTTCTCCATTCACGTGCTTAATTAAGGGCTTACGAGTACAAAATAAATGAAACTGCACTTCTTCACTGGAACAATCTGGGGAGCAGCAGAAATTCTGCAGAGAGGGAGGGGATCTGCCAGGAAAACAGTGGTACCATCTCCTCATTATGCTTCTGTACTGGAGTTAGTCTTAATGTCACATGACTCTTAAGGGGCAAAAGGCTTGAGACCAAGAGACATCTCCTTGAAATCGTGGTACGGGAGGAGGAGTATAGTTTTTCTTTTCTTTTCTTTTTAAAGGTTTTATTTATTTGAGAAACAAAGAGTGAGCGCAGGGGAAGGGGCAGAGGGAGAAAATCTCCAAGCAGACGCCCCACTGAGCACGGAGCCCAAAGTGGGGCTTGATCTCAGGACCCTGAGATCATGACCTGAGCTGAAATCAAGAGTCGAACATTTAACCGACTGAGCCACCTAGGCGCCCCAGGAGGAGTGTAGTTTCATCTTCATTTTATCAAAGGAGAAATAAAGACAAGGAGCCATGACCAGGACAATACTAGACAGCTAGTCTAGGGTGTAACAGGGAAAACCCCAGAAGGAAGTTGACTCAATCTTATTTGTGACATCATGTTTTACATCATTCAGAAGTTTTTGTAGAAGTCTCTATAGTGACCAGCTGGTTGACTGCCTGAGAGTCATTTCCATTTGTTCAGTCCCGAGGCAGGGGCAGGGGAGCGGGGCAGGAGTAGGGGGTGGTGGTGAGAAAATGGAATTGCTTTATCATTCATAGGCAGATCTGGATGGAGGGAATTGAACCTAGTTCACAAAGGGTTCCCAAATGCACACTGACCACTTTCACAAAGTGCATGGAAGAAGCAAGAAGCCAGGGCTCCAGATTGCTTAAACTAATGCTCCACCCCCTTCCTCTCCATCTCCAGAGAACTGCCAGGACACTCTTGTTGACTAGTTAAGACAAGTGAAATCGACTGGAGGGCTCTACAATTCCCACAAGCCTGTTGGTTCCCCTTTTCTCAGAAGCTTAAAACAAAGGACCTGAAAGTCAAATGACCCAATTTAAAATGACCAGTGTCCCTGAAATAGGACGACTTTATTTTCAGTATTAAAGAGATTAACAATAGTTCTCATTATTCTGACTTATCCATATTCAAACTCACCTGCTCAGAAAGTTGCAGGCCCAGTTTCTAACAAGTCCTACTAATCATTAAGAAAGGACTTACAATAAAGGTTATGTGCATAGGAAAGATCAAAGAGTAGAAAATGCCAAACAGAGGTATCCAGAGAGAAAGGCTTTCTGTGACTGAAATATTTTGTGTCCATGGTTCAGGAATAAGATGCTTCTGCTGGGAGCTGAGAAATCAAGATGAGAAACCTTTGGCATCCCAGTTGGATGTCAGAGTTCTCTGCGGTGGTATTTGTGGCTAGTTTAATGCAAACAGTGGGAGAGAGACCTGAGGAGGAGGAGGAAGAAATTCTCAACCTCTACTCAATCACCAGCTGCAGGGTTAGGACTGAGAACCGACTGTGAATACACTCAAGGCCTGACCTTGAAGGGCACTGGGACAACTCGGAAGACGAATCACTTAGTACTCAAGTCAAGCCTGTTGTGAATGAAGGGCCAGCTCAGTTGCAGCCCAGGGCCCTTGTACTGGAGACCCTCAGAAGAGTGGGCACCAGAGGCGAGGATGACGCAGCTAGTTATGTGATTTAAAAGGTAGTAACCCACAAGGATGGAAGTAACAGCCCTCACCACTATTCTGCAGATAATCGACAGGACTCCATCCTGAGGGCAACAGGACTGACTAAATCCCTAGTAATTTCATGTTAGGCAGGATCGTGGGTCATAGCTCTAAGTAGAAGCTATAGGTTCTACTCTATAAAAATCGCTGTACAGTATAGATCCAGGAGGCTGGGACACTTAGAGAGTGTGGCAGAACACATGGTCTTCAAAGATCTGCTTCTCTTTTGCTGGGAAGGTCTTGTCACAAACTGGACAATTCAAACAAAGGGTCTGCATGTGCTGCTGCTCCAAGGTGTGATCGAAAATGCCATCAGCAAAGTCAGATTTGCAGGTGGGGCATCTCTTCATGGCGAGCTGGGAGGAAGAGCAGAGATGTCAGTACAGATGGAAGCTGTGTGTGGCAGAGGCCATGTGTCCTGTTCTCTTATACCCTCAGCACGGAGCATAATGCTTGGCCCATGGGAGGTGCTCAAGAAGTAGAGGATGGATGAACAAAGTCACATCTGGCGACACTCACTGAGGCTTTCTCTACCCCAGGACTGAAAGGACCTACTATTGTTAAAGTACTCAGAGAGCTTTCAGCAGAATGGGCACTGGACATACCCTGTGGGGCTGGCTGCCTAGTTCTGGTACCAAACTCAGCTCACAGGGGGAGGTCTACAGCAGAAAGCTGATGGGCGAACTGTGCTTTCTTCTCCGCACCTCAATGGGCTCCCTCAGCTTCGGGTTTGACCCAACTGATCCAGCTGACTTCTGGACTTATCAAAATGAACCAGTCTCCCTATGGTTCTCCCATAACTGGAGCAGGAAGGGACTTTCCTCAAGGATTTTATACTTACCAGGCTCGGGGCCGAACTTTCCTGGATACCTGAGGATCATTAAAAAGATTTCATTCAATGAAAGAAATACCATCCCTGGATTCTCCAGCTGTGATCTAGCAGCTGGTTTCTGTAACTCCCTCCCTTCCCTTTCTCCCCGCTGCCTTTGACTCTTTCGCTCTCCGACGTACCATTAACTGCTGACAGAGGGGATCTAGGTCAATGATGAAGGGAAAAGAGGAAAAAATAATGAAGTGGCATTTTCGATAGTCATGTTTATGCTATAGAGTCAGAAAAAAACAAACCTCTTTTCAGTATGGGGAAAATGAGATTTTAATTAAAACAGTCACGATTTAATAAGAAAGCAATTTGAGAACAGATTTTAAGACTGAAGCCATGCAAACAGGTATTTTTAAATGAAATGCTTAAAAATATTTTTAAGGAGAAAATAAATGTGTACCCCTGACTGCTGTAAAGATTTGATTGTGACTCTTAAGAGAACACGACTGCTTTAAACTGTCCAAGAAAAGGAAACGAGGTCTTCTATCACTTTTGGAGACCAAAGAGGAAAAGTTCCCTGTTCCTTTGTCCCTGGCAAGAACAATCTGACCCTCTGTCCTTGAGTGACAAGACTGGTTTTCATCCCCATTTCCTGTCCTCCAAACCACCCCGGGGTCTCTGTGGGGCACGTTCCCGCTACCCTTGGTCACGCCATCGGGGTGGCTACCATAACTGCCCATTCCTGGGCGGCATACCCCACCTTTTACGCTTCCATTTCCAACTTAATTAGCTTCCTCAGCTTTGTATGTGTATATCTTCTACATAGACACATTTCTCTGATTTATATATTTGGAATAGAGCCACGGGACTCAATTTGTGTCTGCTGCCTCTAGGCGAATGATCTGATTTGCGTCTTCTAGATTCAGATTTATTTCTCAATTAACACTTCTCGCCTGGCAATCTTTCTATTGGGTCCTCGGCTTCTGCCCAGCAAGTCTTAACAATGAGACTGGCCTTAATTAGCATCTCAGGCCAAAAAAAAAAAAAATGTAGTGGGGGAAAGGGATGCAGGCAAGGGCCTTCTAGCTCAAATGGCAGTTGTCTTACCAGAATATGGGTTTCCAAAGACAAGTCCTGGGTTTTGTCCGGCACCTCCTTGATCTGAAGTAGGCGCTTGATAGGGCAAAGAGTCAAAATCCAGACCCATGTAACTCAGCAATCTGCTGTTCTCCCTCTTCAAAAGCTATGGAGAGAACGTTTAGAGAGACATGTTGGAAGACGACAGCAAAGAATTGACCACAAGCAACTGGCTAGGGGATGCCCATTAGGGGTGGTTCTCAATGAACAATGTGGGGGTGGAGAATCCCAGGAACTGACAAATCGTAATTCTTCTAGGGGAAGCACAACCTCCACACGCAGAAGATCTGAGTTCTTTATGCCTGAATTTAAATGTATACTGAATTTTGTTTAGATTAATACAAAAAAGAATTTTAAGTCTCTACATACATACCAACTGAGGTGGGGTACAAACGTTGTATGCATATATGAGGGGGGCGGGAGCTATATTAAGGTTGAAGCTGTTGCAAATTATTGAGAGCAAAATGCTTCTTTTAGTCTTTCCTTCCTAGAACAATTTTCTTACACAATGTGAATATTCATCTGATACAATTTCCCCCTTTTTCTTAATTAAGATTTTTTATTTATTTATTTGACAGAGGGAGACACAGCGAGAGAGGGAACACAAGCAGGGGGAGTGGGAGAGGGAGAAGCAGGCTTCCCGTGGAGCAGGGAGCCCCGATGCGGGACTCAATCCCAGGACGCTGGGATCATGACCTGAGCCGAAGGCAGACGCTTAATTGAGCCACCAAGGCGCCCCCCACATCTTTTTTTTAAAAGATTTTATTTATTTGACAGAGAGAGATACGGCGAGAGAGGGAACACAAGCAGGGGGAGTGGGAGAGGGAAAAGCAGGCTTCCTGCGGAGCAGGGAGCCTGATGCGGGGCTTGATCCCAGGACCGTGGGATCATGACCTGAGCCTAAGGCAGATGCTTAACGACTGAGACACCCAGGCGCCCCACAATTTCCCCTTCTTCACGTTTTATCCTTTCAAATGGATATACCAACAGAGAGAGTGAAAGGAGGAAGGAAGAGAGAGAGGGAATGAGGGAAAGAATAAGAGAGAATAAGTTACAAGGAGAACAGATAGCATTTAAAAAGTTCTTAGAAAAAAAAGTAAACTGCCCCTTCACATCTTTTTTTAAAAGATTTATTTATTTATTTGACAGAGAGAGACACAGCGAGAGAGGGAACACAAGCAGGGGGAGTGGGAGAGGGAGAAGCAGGCTTCCCGCCGAGCAGGGAGCCCAACACGGGGCTCGATCCCAGGACCCCGGGACCATGACCTGAGCTGAAGGCAGCCGCTCAGCGACTGAGCCCCCCAGGCACCTGTGCCCCTTCACATCTTAAGAGGGCTTTACTATAGCTCTTAACAAAGCTTTCAATTATCAGATCGTTTCCTCCCTGTTGCAAATTGTGTATATCTTCCTTCCCTCTCACCGCCCTGTCAGACTATACCAGAAAATCGAGATTTCAAAGTCAAGCTCTGTTTATCTAAATCGGAGGATGAGGATGAGGAAGACAGGGCTGGAAACAGACCCCTAAGGCCCCTACAGTCCTGAAAGGCATTGTAATAAATGACATAATCAAAGCTAGAGATGATCACTTGGAGGCACAGCCGGGAAGGGTTACAGAGAGGGGAGAGATGGAGAACCATGGCAGGTGTAGATCTAGGAGCACAAGCCAGAGTGCATGGACACCTAACTTTGATGCAAGAGCAGGAAAGTGCCTTTAAGTACAGCTTTTTAAAAAAGTTTTTTTTTTAAGATTTTATTTATTTATTTGACACACAGAGAGGCACACATGCTCAGCAAGAGAGAGAGAGGGAGAGAGCACAAGCAGGGGGAGCGGCAGGCAGAGGGAGAAGCAGACTTCCTGCATGAGCAGGGAGCCTGATGTGGGGCTCGATTCCAGGACCCTGGGATCATGACCTGAGCTGAAGGCAGCAGTTTAACCAACTGAGCCACCCAGGCGCTCCTAAAAAAGTTTTTATTTATTGTTTTTAATAATCTCTACACCCAATATGGGGCTCGAACTCACAACCCCCGAGATCGAGTCGCATGCTTCTCCAACTGAGCCAACCAGGTGCCCCCAAGTGAAGCTTCTTTATTTGCTGCCATCATCCTCAGTCAACCAAGAATAGCTTGTGTCTAACCCACAGCAGAAAACAAATATTGATTGGATGAATGAATGAGTGAGTGAATTAATGCAGAGCATTTTATTAGGAGCCTACCATGGGTCCAGCCCTGGCACAGACTGTCACTACTGCCATGGTTTGGCAGCAGAAGAAAAGGAAAAAGTTGTGCTGAAGGAAATGGGTCCCTTAGCTAGCCTAAAAATGATGTAGGATATTATTCTCCAAAGACAATACAACAGGTGTGAAGTTAAAAGCAAAATGAATTAAGTTAGATCTTCATCAAGGCTGTTCCTTTCAAGTTGACTATTGCCATGGCAAACAAGTTTCAGTTATAGAACCAAGAGAGGGTTCGTGGTAGATGAGGAAACCAGATTAAATTTACTCGTAGGAGCAATGGTCTCACCCATTGTCCCAGAAAGGGCTCTTTTATTTAACTTGTTAATCACCACATCTCTGGGTCACCCTGCTCCTTCTTAAAACCTTGCGGTTTCCAGGGGTGCCTGGGTGGCTCAGTCAGTTAAGTGGCTGACTTGATTTCAGCTCAGGTCATGATCTCAGGCTCGTGGGACTGAACCCTGCATTTGGTTCCGCGCTCAGCACAGAGTCCTCTTGAGATTCTCTCTTTCCCTCTCCCTCTGCTCCTCCCCACCACAAGCTCGTTCTCTCTCAAATCAATCAATCAATCAATCAATCAATCTTTAAACAAAACACCTTGGAGTTTCTAGCCTGTTGTATACACTTACATCATTTTCTCTTTCCAATCTCTCTTTCTCTCTCTGCAGAACATTACATATAATCTTGTTCTCATTCAGTGTTTTTGACAGGCCAGAGTTCTCGTCCTGTCAATAACAAAAAACAATTGGGATTAGGATCACATATTGTCATCTGGATCCAAGGTGGGGTACCACAAGGGCCTGTAGAGGATCTGGATTCCCAAAGTGGTGGGGGGGACTGAGGTGGGGGAGAAGGCGGCTGGGGTGCAGAGGACGTATGGTGGAGGCGATGCTGACTTAACAGGGAAATGATTTAATAAAATGCCTGAAGGCCTGCCCTGGCATTGAGATGCCGTTTTCTTTTGGTTTAGCTGGTAGTATAAGTGACCAAAAAGAGGAAAAGTCATAAGCTTGGGAAAAGCCCCAAGGCGGACTTATCAGAATCAGGGATAAGTGGAGCCCTGTTTTAACTGCACCCAACCATGGAAACAAGCATCTTTGTCTTGAATAAACATCTCACTCGATGTAGTGTGAGGCACTTAGGTCGATGTGACGCCCTCAGTGAGGACAGGCATCTGCACTCAAGGAACACTGAGGAAGAAGGAACCCTGGAAGGCATTTATCCAAAGCTACAGGGAACCCGGACTGAGGTGTTGGGCGTCCCGGTGTGACGGGCTGACCTAATTTCATAAACCCCACACTGGTAGGCATGCTTCCGTGCTTCCCATCTCCTACCTACAGACAGACACGTGCACATACCTCACAGAAACACTTAAGCTAATCCTACTAGTTGTGTGTTTTTTTTTTCCCAAGATTTTTTATTTGAACGCTGGTGCCCAAACCGCTGTGCGCTTCTAGCCGACCCTGAGGTAGTAACTCGAGAGGGGCTACCCGATGACAGGGCTCACTGCAGGCTCCCGGCTCCCCATCCCCAGTGGCTCTTGTTGGCTCTTCTGGTCCTGCTTCACTTCCTCAAAAGGCAGAAATAAGAAAGGGCTATCTGAGTCTGCACAGAAACCTGCTCAATGGTTACAAAACCTTCCCTGAGACCCGCGGCTAGACTGGGGCCACTACTTCCGGGGACCCCCAGACTGGTTTCTGGCCGCACACTCCATCCCTCCTCTTTTTAGCAGAAAGAAATGTTTCTCTTTAACAAGGGTGGGCAGTCCTCTGGGCTTGGTCTAGGAACCACAGACCTTCACACCCCTGGCTTCCTGGGCCCCTGAGCTCTGTCACCTACCAGTTGCGCAGTGGCCCTGAGTTGCCTGATCTGTCTGTGGAGTCGTTGACATTCTTTGTACTTCTCTAAGAAACAGGCTTTCCCGGCCTCTACCTTTGCCTTCAGGCGCTCCACCTCTTGTACTAACTGCTTCTCCACTGTTGTTTTCTTGTTCCTAGGCGCCTGAAGTATAAGACACACAGTCCCTCGTAGTTAGGGGCCCTTTGCGTATGTGAGGAAGAAAGAATTAAGCCCCTGGGTCTTGAAAAATATGCCACGAAAACCCAGGAAACCCCTACCTGCCACAAGGAGGTTCAAACCTTTGAAGGGCTATAGCTTATTTAAAACAGTGTGGCCACAGCAGAGGCCACAAGCTCCAATGTGCTGGCGGGGGGGCCGGGACAGTGACGTTGCTGAGAAGGAGCTGAAGGCCACCGGCCAGTGGAGGCTGGAGGCGTGGGGCAGAGGGAGCAGGAACCACCCAGCCCGGGTGTCGCTGCTGGGTGGGGATGCAGGCTCCGTGCTGCCAGAGCCTCCAAGTTTTCAAGAGGCTAGAAATACACTTTTTTTTTTTTAAATGGAAAATGTTTCCATTTTTAATTATTGGTAGCCAGTTCAAGTTTTGAAAAACACCCTCTAGGCCAACTAAGACATTTCTCTGGGCTAACCTTAACCTGTGAGCGGCAGCTTTTCTAACTTCCTTCTCCTCTTTATCATGCTAAAGTGTCTAGTAGCTTCCATATGGTTGGTACTCTGCTAGTTGATTGAATAATGGCTGAGTGAACGACACCGCATACACTGCAGAGACGATATGACTTAAAATCCCAACAGTTGGACATCCTCCAGACACCGGGGTTTCTCATACCCTTATAGCGATTCAGATAATGGGCTTCCTGGTAGCCGTCATCACCACGAGGCCTCTTTTCCAACAATCTATTCTAGGAATTTATCAGTCAGTTGGGCTTTCATTACTGTATTACTATAGCTCAGAATAATTTAAAATGATAATTGCTAATATTACATTAACTATAACAAAAATTTTGACGGCTGTAATATTTTCTAACCAAAGAGCTTGACTTTATAATCCTTCATGTGTCTGCCCCCATGATGAGAAGGGGGTAGGGGTGACTCTGGGTGATTCTTGACTCAAGGCTCTATTGACGAAAATCTGTCATGAAGCTCTTTAAATATCCCTCTGCCATTCATCACACCGTAGAAACGGCCACCTCTCCTAAATGTTTTGTAGATGACAAATTCTCTGTCCCTCTGGGACATCTTGTTAGATGTCCAACGGTAAACACTATTCTCCTCTGCCTTTTTTAGCCTTTCCGTCCCCTGGAAAGAGGCCCTGTCCCTTCCTGCGCGCAGGCTCCCTCCCACAAAGCCGTCCAAAGACAGACGTGCCGTTAACTCCCGTTGCTTCTTCACGGCCGTCATTTCTTCCTCCTTCATCTGCTCTACTGTCTGCTCCAGCTTCTTCTGGTGCTGCCCCTGCACAGAAACAGATGTCGGTACCACTGCTGGGCAAAAAAAGGCACACACGCACTGGGGGAGGGCCTGCTGAGCCCATGGGCAAGCAGCCGGCGGACAGAGAAGGAAGTCTCCCCTTACTACTTCCGAGAAGAGCCACGAGATCCCTCATCTCAGATGGCTTCCTCTGAGACCCTTCCCACAGCCGGCAACAGCCGTATATGACAGAGGACACAAAGAACTATGTATATATTTTCTCGCAAAGGCCCAAAAACGTTGGGTCCGTCCGTGACTCTACCTGTTGTGTCAAAGTGAGAAGGAGCTGGCTATTTTCCTTTTTCAGATGCTCCAGCTGTTCTGTCTTATCTTGGTCTCCCTGCACAAGCTTCTCCATTTCTTTCTCTTGAGTTGACAGCTGGGCCTAAAGCAAAAACAGTGAATATAGCCAATATGATATAAAAGAAAGAAAACTGAACAGGAACAGTGCTGTTTAATGTGCACTAACACACAGAAGTGTGCGCTCCTTGGCAACTCCCAACTGCCAAATATCCCTAGAATGCGCACTTTTCCGCTGTCCGTCACTCCCTGTGTCTAAGACTCAACTGAGGAAAAGTCAACAAACCACTCTTTAAGGCATAGCTTAGAAACCAAGAGTGATTCAGCTGTTATCTGCTTTACATTCTAGACTTTTTTTTTTCATTCTAGGCTTTTGAGAAAGACTTTGCTTGAAAAGATTTTGTAGCTAAAAGCAAAAAGTTTGAAAAGCACTGGTAGAGCTGACAGTCCTCCATCTTAAGAGTTCATGATAAATATAGACTGAATAAATTATTCAGTTCCTTGTGGACTGGGACTATAAAAGTTAACAGTGTGTGTGGGGAGGGTCAAGAATAGAAAACTCCGTGAACATTTAGTCTGACGCTTTGAAAGGTCCACTGGGGCACTCGCTACAGTGAAATGCATCTTTCTCTCTCCGGGCCACCACGGAGGAGTGATGGCCAGGGTAAGACAATACACTTTGGCAAAGATTTGGAATTACCTACCTGGAGCTGATCCACTCGGACTCCCATCTTCTCATTTTCTGAGGACATCTTTTGGTTTTGTTCTTTCAGTCTGTGGAGGTGAAGAGGACTAAGTGAAAAATACGCTGATTCTGGGTCAGATGCCCCAGGCCTTCAATGACTTAAGGCTGCCTTGACCCTAGGCTGTGCAATTAGTTTAAAATCCATTCTTGTTCACTCCTGTTTCAGCTTCCTGACCTCAAACTGCAGGTATTCGACACTTCACACTAATACTTGAATTCCCGTTACTTCGCCTTACCACTTGGATACTAATGCTCCAACCTAGAATCATACCTATCACTGCCAAAAGAGGAAGACTGTTTTCTAACGAGTTCTGCAGATCTAATCTCACCCTGCCCCGAGGTGTCTGTAACACAGCAGTTCCTCCCATCTGAGAATCACACTCACTGAAGCAGCTCTGTCTCCCAGTGGTCCTTCTGCGCCTTCACTTGCTGTTCCAATTTCTTATTGGTGCTCTTTAAAGTTTCTAGCTCCTCCTGCAGATTGAGACGTCAAAGGAACAGACCATTTCTAAGACAAGTTTTAGTATCTCAGCTAGCCGACAAATATTTACTGAGCGTTTACTACATGTCAGGCACTTATTATATGTCATGACACAACAGTGAATGAAATATCCAAGTAAAGGGGTTTCCAGATTAGAATGTTCTTAATCTGTTCTCTCCACGAAATGCATTCACCTTAATTTCTCTTCCACCAGAGCTTGTTTTTGTCCATTAACTCATTAAGCAAATATTTAATGAGTGCCTATGAGGCACTGTTCCTTCACTGCAGACACAGCAGCGAATGAAATAAAGTGGCTTTTCTCTTTGAAAGGTGCTGTCCCATAAATTCACGAACACCGCATATGTAATTCAAGTTTAGGAGCCACATTTAAAAAATTAAAAAGAAACAGATACACTTAATTTTACTAATGGTACATTTAACTCAATATATCTAAAATATTGCTTCAATATGTAAGTAAGAAGGAAATACTTTAATTTTTTTCATATTAAGTCTTCAAATGCGATATATCCTTTACACTTACAGCATATCACAAGACGCCATGTTGCCAGTGTTCAAGAGCCACGGGTGGCTAGTGGCCCCCGTACTGGGGCTACACATTTGGTTTTTCTTTCCCAACTTCATTCTGCACCAAAGCCAACCTTGTCCATCAATAACAACTCCCTGCTTTTAGCTCCAAGACTGACAAATTTATTTTTTAAAAAATAATTTTTAAAAAACTGTAGGAATCCATACATAAAATTTTCCCTCTTAATCATTTTTAAGCCTACAGTTCAGTGGCATTAAGTACATTCACATCGTTGTACAACCGGCACCACATCCACTCACAGAACTATTTTCATTTTGCACACAACCATGAAAACACTGACTCCCTGTTCCCCCCACCGGTGCCCCCACTCCCAGCAACCACTCCTCTACTCTCTGTCTCTAAGAAGTTGGCTACTCCAGGTACCTCATCAGTGGGATCACATGCTATTTGTTTCTCTGTGTCCAACCCATTTTACCCGGCTAATGTCCTCAATGTTCATCCATTCTGTAGCCTGTGTCAGAATTTCTTTCCTTTTTAAAGCTGAATAATAATCTACACGCTAAACCATGTCTATCCATCTATCTGTCACTGGACACTTGGGCTGCCTCCACCCTTTGGCTGTTGTGAAAGATGCTATTATGAACATGGGTGTACTAGTCTCTCTTTCAGAAAACAAGTACTATCAATCTCTCTTTTATAGAGAGGGAAACTGAAGTTCAGAGATGTTAAGAAATTTCCCCTGCTTCATCAAATAATAAGTGGGAGAACCAGTCTGTGTGACTCCAAAGATGGGGTTCTTAACCATTGTATGGTCCTGGCTCTAAAACACATGGGTTTTCCTGCCCATTTTTATTGTTTTTAATTTTTAATTCCTAAAAAACATGGGTTTTAACATCAAAAAAATCTGAGCTCAAATCCAAGCTCCTTTCAAAGTCATGAACTGTTGTGACATTGAGCAAGTCGTTAACCTAACCTCTCTGAGCTGCTAGGTGGTTGTAAGGATTAAGTGAAGCGATCTGCTTAATTACAGTGCCTCACTTACAGTGTACATAGTAGGTGCTGAATAAATACTGGCTTGTGTTATCATGACAACTAGTAGCTAGTTGGTAGGAGAGCTAACCCAAGAAGCCAGACCCTCTGATTCCTTGGCTAGAACCTGGCAGGTGAGCTGTAGGGCTCCTGGCCAGGACACTGGTTCCTGACCGACAGACTGAATTACACCTCTGCCACCTCTGTTTGTTATCTCACTGCCTGGAGTAGGCCAGATCTGTAGCCTGGACCTGTCACCCACACTTCTCTACCAGCCCAGGGCTGAGGACATCACAGGCGTTTGTGTGACAGCAATGTATAAAGAACAAGCTGTCTGGGAGTCAAGAGAAGTGGGTCCTAACCTAGTGTGGTCACTAAACTGACCGCTTCCTCTCTCCTCTGGGCCTCAGTTTGCTCACCTGTAGATCAGGGGCTCTACAGATGGTGACTGCCAAGGTTTGCATGTTCTGGAACTTCTAAAGTATGACCTCAGTGTAATTAGTTTATAGTCCTTAGAGAAGACTCTCCTCTTTAGCTCCTTGCATTATCAACTCTCATTTACTACCCACTGATTGGAAGGATGTTTCAAAAGAGAAGTAACAAAGAGTTTGGGTAACCTGAAACCTTGCTTTTATACTCGCTACTCTCTCAATGTCCACATTCTAGCTAATCAGAGCAAATAGATTACATTCTACATAAAGTAGGAAGAAGCAGTCAGACTGCCTGGGTTTGAATCCTGGCTCCATCACAGATTAGCTGTATGAGAGATTATGTACCTAAGCCTCAGGTTTACTCATCTGTAAAATCGGGGTAATAATAGTACCTATTCCAAAGTTTAAATAAAGTAATCCATATAAAACTTTTAACACTGTGCCTATTCAAAGATATTAGTATAAGAGAGTAAGATCACAAGCAAAACAGAAGGTGGTGCTGGATAAGAGACACCATCCAATTCTGACCTCTGTACTCCAGCTTCATGTTTTTCGTTTGTTTTCAGGTTCATGTTTAACTAGCAGCCATACCTCCTTCTTGTGGAGCTCAGCCTGCATGTCTGAGTTCTGCTTCTGGAGGCTGACACAGCTGTCCTTCAGCTCCTGGTTTTCTTTGCAAAGCTCCTTATTGTGCTGCTCAATTTCTTCCACCTCACCCTACGAAAGAGCATCTGTGAATTCATATTTGACCCTTTATAGCTTGATAAATATTCAAGTCCCTCTAGTGGAACATTCCCATAGGCTGGGATGCTGAGAGTCTGGTGGATTCCCACTCACACAGCGACATCTATGTACCCTGAATGGGATCACCTCCTCAGTATGTAGGGAAGGGGGTAATGTAGGTATGTCTGTATAACTGCAACATTGAGCCTGTCATTACCAAGAAAGAAAGACAAACAACATTAAGGCCATAAAGAGTTAAAAGGCAGAATGACAGAAGAATCTTGCATGTAGATTCTTCTTGCAAACACTTACTACTCTTTGTCTTTCCTAATGGACTTAGCTCCTAGAGGCCAAGACAGCAGGTGATAAAATCGATTCACTGCCTAGCAGAGAGCTGGATGGAAAGAGGATGTCCTGTGAGATAACTGAGCGAATGAATCCAATGAGAGATGGGGGCGCCTGGGTGGCTCAGTCGGTTAAGATCTGCCTTCTGCTCAGGTCAAGTTCCCAGGGTCCTGGGATCGAGCCCCACATCAGGCTCCCTGCTCAGCGGGAAGCCTGCTTCTCCCTCTCCCACTGCCCCTGCTTATGTGGCTCGCTCTCTGTCTAATGAATAAATAAAATCTTTAAAAAAATAAACGAACTGAGAGACACAAAGCATATTTGGTGTATCCCTCCTCAAAGGAGCTTATAAATTTACCATCGTGGTAAGATGTGTAGATGACCAGATGTGCAGATGCCCAAAATTAAGCAACTGGAAAAGTTAAGGGAAAACTGAATGCCAACTGAGTTACAGCAGCTTTAGAGAAAGGAGAAATCACTTATTGTTGTGATTCTTTTCAATGTTCCTAAGTCATTCCTGAGCAGGTTTGAATGGGTACTATATACATTTTTCCCAAGAGTATCTGTTAAGACATTCAATAAAGGCTTATTGATCCAAATTCCACCCTATCCTGAAATTACTACTCTTAATGGCAGGAAAGGATTGAGGTGAGATGTTCACAGACCTGAGTGGTAACCACCAGGATGTCCTCCTCATTTTCTGGACGGAACTGGAAAGGGATACTTGCTCCCCGGACCACACCATCCTGATCCACATAGCAGAACTGGTAATACTCATCATCCTTGGGCAGGTAATAAGCTGAAAACACAACATGATTTTTAATCCAAAATAAAGTCTATTAAGAAAACTAAAAATCTGGAAGTCTTTTATCTGCCCTAGAAATCTTAAGCTCAAGGGAATTAGTCTTAGCTGCTGTCTTCAAATACCTTTGATCTAGGATTTTTCTCACCTTTGAACTGGACTTCCTGCTGTTTGGCTGATTCGCTTTTTAGGTCAACGGGCAAAGTGACCCACATGAAGGTGTAATACTCACGGGTTGTCTTCCATCCCACCTGCAATGACAGAAGGCTCTCACTCAGCATCTGAAAGTGCTCAGGGGAAAACTCATGTGTGCTAGGTCTTCTTAAAATGCACTTACTATTTATTTGTTTATGTTGAAAATACAATAGAATGAGTCCCTTATGATATGTGGTAGGAGGTCTGATACGACTAGAAACTGGCACACACACAGTCCAGAATACCTGGCTCAGAAGGAAATGAAAACCGGCCCCTTGACACCCAGCACCAGAGTTCTAAAAATTCTATCACCACATCAGACAGAGAACGGTGAGTGGCTGGGGAAAACAGTGAAGACAGTTCTGGGGTTGTGAATCTGATCCCGCTACCTTCTCCCAACAGTGTTCTTAGAACTTCTTAATCAGAAAGCCCTTCTGGGGGCGCCTGGGTGGCTCAGTCGTTAAAGCGCTGCCTTCGGCTCAGGTCATGATCCCAGGGTCCTGGGATCGAGCCCCACATCGGGCTCCCTCCTCTGCGGGAAGCCCGCTTCTCCCTCTCCCACTCCCCCTGCTTGTGTTCCCTCTCTTGCTGTCTCTCTCTCTGTCAAATAAAACAAACAAACAAAACAAAAACAAATGTCTCAGGCATTTTTAATACCTTGTAAGAACTTTTGAATATTTGAGTAATAAATACCCAAAAGAATACACTTGTTTTAAATTGTCATTATCAACTTTTCACTTCTGAGTTCATAGGTATAATTTATGAATTTATGAATTAACAGATATTTTCATTTAGATGATAATGTGAAAATTACATTCAGCTGAACCTTAGCACAGCATACCTAAAAATATATACATATATTTATGATTTACTTATATGTA